TACACAAACACATAAAAATTACATCTTTATAAAAAGAGAAAATAATAGGCTAAATGCAGAATGTTGATTAATTCATGGAAGGATAAAATGTAGACATGACTGACAAGTACTTGTTGCTAATATGAGATTTTTTTCTAAGTCAGAATTTCCAAACTAATCTATATAGACTAGGGAAACAAACAGCAATAATAAAAATGTATATTGTATTTTGCTTTTCTAATAAAATTTAGAAGATTTGTAAAGTTACCTTTTGTTAGATCATTTGATAGCTTCATTATTAACATTTTATATGAAATACATAAAACTAATTTTAGCTTGAGTAGCTTTGCATTTGTGTTTGTGCAGCTTCTGTGCTCAAACCTATTTGATCTCAGCAGCCTGGATATCTAACATCTTAGCTGGCAAAAAATATAACCATTTTTAACAATTTAGAATATATAGGTCAAACGTTAACTGTGTTTTCACTGTTTCCTGGCATTTTTAAGTATTATTGCAGTATTCAGCAGTTTCCTATGCCAGTTTCCTTTCTTAGCCTGAAGTTGTCCTAATGATTTCGGTAGCTGATATGTAAGCATGAACTAAATGAAAGAAATATTCATAGTCAAAATGTATGCTAGTCTTATACCACATACTTATGACTAGCTTATAGAAGTCTGTTACATCCTACTCCTGTTCTTTGTGTTTCCTCTCTAAAGGAGGAAAAGCAAACTCACTCGGCTCTCTCTGTTAAGAATAATGGCCAAAGACAAGTCAAAACTCCACAGTGCAGTGACATCCAAAGAGGGGCAAGTGTTGCAGAAGGATACATACAGAGGGGGACAATACATTAGGTGCCAGGCTGCCACAAAAATGATTTTTGTCTGTGAAAGCTCTATCGGAGGTCAGAAAGATAGGTAAGTTTGGAGAGGTGTGATTGGAGATTAGAAAAAAGGTATGAGGGCCAGGGAGATTGCCCATGAGTTAAGGCACTTGCCTCAAAGCCTAGGGCCTGAGTTTGTTCCTCCAAACCCACATGGTAGAAGGAGATAACCAACCACTGGACATTGTCTTCTGGCCTCCAAAGTTTGCATGCAGATACACACTAATCTCTGGATGATAGACTACAAGCTTAATACAAAATAAACCCTTTCCTCCCTTCATTGATATTAGCTGGTGATATTTTATCACAACAGTAGCAACCCTAATGAAGACAGATATATTACTTTAATCTTAAAGTTCATGGAGACTAAATTTAATCACCTTGTCTTTGACCACTATTTAAGTAAAAAACCCACCTGCTGTTGTAAGTATACACAGGATACAAACTGAGTCAAACACTGTTCTTTCCATTTAGAACAATAGAGTGGTGTCAGTGAAACTAGCATACCCTGAGAATCAAAGTAAATAAGGCTCCATATGTTCATCATTAACTACTTAATAGATATGCCATTTTCCATTTATTTATATAAAGGACATTCATACTTTGAAATTTTTAATAATTATAATGAGGTATGGTCACTGATATTCTTGGTCTACTGAAATAAATTCTTGTCAAATATTCTGATAATAATGCAATTTGAATGTAAAATTAAATTTGGTAAAATTGGAAATCAAATATGAATCAACTTATAGCATGAATCTGCTGTATTATTATCGTCTTGGATTTGTGTTCACATCTTTGCTAAGATTTAGAATTGGCAATTGTTAATGCAAAGAAAAAACAAGTTAAACGAGAAAATAATATTGTTTCTACTCATGCCTTTGACTTTATAAATATAATTTTTAACTATTTAAACAAATACATTAACTATGATTTAAAGCAAATGTTTTCTGCACATATTTGCTCATTGACACCTAATGAGGTGACTTCATAATCCTAAAGCTGAACGGTCATAAGTGCATTCTTTGTATCAAGCCACCTGAGTTTGCAATGAGAGAAAAACAAGTGTTTGAAGTTTATTAATATGTTTTCAGAAGACATCACTATGCTTCTACTCTATTCTAGCAAGCCAGTCTTTAAAGCTAGGGTAATTTTCCTGTATTCTAGCACTGCTCTTCAGAAGAATTCCATCCATGCAGAATATTGCACGGAGACCTTGCGTAAAGGCCTCCCAGTATAACCTTGCCTCCCCAGTCTGCCTTTAGCACAAATCCTTTGTCCCAGAAAGGTTTTCTTCTGCCCTCATTGCCTTCAATGTCCTTTTTTTTTTCAGTTTCTTGTTTTCACTTTTTATTTATAAAATAGTACTCTTATTGATTTGTGAAAAATCTATTAAATGCCTGTTCTACTTTGCTATAGCATACAGCAAATTGATCTTCTGAGTTTTTTGATAGTTCTTTGATACTCAACCTTAAAATATTCTAGTCTTAAAAGAAGTGAGTGATAGGATAAATTTTTTAGATTTTATATAATTTTGACCAATTTTAAAAACATGCATATTTTACAAATAATCAAAATATTCTTATATATTAAACTTTAATTAATAGATTAGGTATGAAGTGTTATTTAAGTCTTATGTCTAAAGTACATTTTACTTAATGAACTTTATAGTATTAGTGCATTATACACTAATAACATTTTCATCATTCATATATCCAGTATTTGAAAACCATTGGTGGGTGTTAAGTCAACTGTAAGGAATGGCGTATGGTATTCATCCCAGTGGTTTTATGTTCCAGCCTCATGAAGAGGGATCTTCAGATGGCCAAGGACCGTGTTTGTGTGTACATATACTCGTACAGAGTGTACAGGTTTACTGCTAACTTCTAAGATGAATGAAAAATTCCAAAGATACACTATGAAAAAGCTGTCACCAGGTGGCAGCCTATAGTTACAAGAAATTTTTCTTTTCTGTCATGAGGTGGCGATAAAAGACTAGCTTCAAAATACAGTGTATCATGGAATAAACATGTATTTTTCTGTTTAATGTCTTTCCTTTATGTGAATGATTAGATTTGCTTTCCTTAAGCAGATGAGGGATGCTTGGTCCCTCCTATCTTTTCATCATACCAGAGGCAGCCATAGCAGGCTACTCACATTAATCTACTGATGAAGCTTATTTTGTGTTTTGCAAAATCTTCATTTCTTTTCTTTAATATAGTAGTATATGATCGTAAGGAAAATAGGTAACACTTCATATGACATTACACACACACACACACACACCACAAATCTTAAACTAGAATATGAAGAGTAATTTATTGGGCATTGTATATAGGAAGGGAGCAGGCTGGACAATACCTAGAATACTGCGTATACCAAAACATCTGGCACCATGTAGTTTTAAATAGGAGCGGGGGTGCCTGGTGTCTGATTTTTAGTCATATCATTTATATACATTTTTACCAATTTTACTAACTTTTCAAAGGAATATTTCAAAACAAAAAGGGTAACGTACAGTGCCAACAACTGAAGCTTTAAAAGCCATTTTGAAGACAATGCAGGTTAGTGAAAGAAAAAGAAAGTGTGTCTGTAGGAGTTGTAAACCTAAATTTAAGTCAGCACTGCAGCTTGTTGGTAAAACTCGGAGAATAATAGTAATGGCGAGTTTCTGGCACTATAATGAAGTAGTCATTTGCTCTCACCCTGTGAATGATAGAACTGTCAAGGGAGAGAGGTTAGGGCTAGCATATCATGCCTTAACTGATTTGTTCTTATGCCCACATGTGCACAATGTGCATAGGACATGTAATAAACTGTGCATGGGCTTTTTTTCATTTATTTGTTTTTTGAGGAACATCTTGTATAGCAGTTTTTTAGCCCAGGTTGGCCTGACTTGCAGTCATCCTCCTAATTTAACCTTCTGACACCTGTGGTTATAGGCGTGTACAACTATCCCAATGAGTGTGCTTAATTCTTTACTTTTGTGAACACTATTTAATGTAGGCTTTATGATATTTAATGATTAAAATAGTTATGAATTAGATATCATAGATTATATATAGAAACATATAAGAATATAAATAACAGTGGTAGAAAATTGGATATGCAAATAGATTTAATTTAAACAAGTTTTGTTTATCCTGAATTGAAGCTTTTAATTGTCCTACCTGTAATTCTTCAGTAATTATTATGCAGCTCCCTACTGGCTCAGATTTAGTTCTTTTGCATGGCATGGGTGGGACAGTATTATGGATTCAGTCCATGACCTTGTGTGTGCTGGGAATACTCTGTACCACTGGGCTATATTACCAGTTCATCCACATAATATATATGGTAGAATTAGTTATATAAAATTAAAAGAGAAAGAATAAAGCAGTTTTTGAGGGTTCTTTAAATATAAATGCTAAAATAAATTTCTATATTTTGTCTCCTTAAGTTATATAAAAATAAAGCAAATTTTGGTTTTAGTTTCTTTAATACTAGAACCATAGTCACTTTCCCTTGTTTTTCTTCCCCCTATAATATAATAATGTATAAAGAACACATCTCTTTTAATGTGTTTCCAAATCTTTAGCTAAGGATTTGTAGAGAAACTACAGAGGGCAATTTTCACACTTGGAACACTCTCCCAGAAAGCACTATTGCTTCCTGTTGGTCTGTTGAAAAATTAAATACTTCTTCACAAAAGTGTCTCATTAAAATTGTTAATGTCATTGTCTAATAAATATTTCCTTTATACAGAGTTCATGTCAGTTGTGTTTTTAAGTCTTCAATTCTTTCTGTTGTGGAATAGAATAAATGTTTAACTATGTAATGATGTGTTACTTTTGTTTAAATATGTAAGCGTGTGTTGCTGTTTCACCTTGTCTCACTAACGCACCTGATAATAATAAAAAGCTGAATGGCCAATAACTAGACATAAGAGGGATAGGTGGGCCTGCTGGACAGAGAAAAGGGTGAGCCAGCCAGCCAGATATGGAAGAAGCAGGAAAGCAGGGTGGACGAGACATAGAGGAAGTAGACGAGACTCTGGACAGCACATAGATTAGTATAACAAAAATGGGTTAAGTTCAGCTGCTGCACGTGTGTGTGTAAGACCACCCGCTCCTTCCAATGCAGAGCTCACTGAAGAGTTGCCATGAGCAAGGCCCACCCTCCTGAACTGAAGAAATTTATGGACAAGAAGTTATCATTGAAGTTAAATGGTGGCAGACATGTACAAGGAATAGTTTGGGGCTTTGATCCCTTTATGAATCGTGTGATTGATGCGTGTGTGGAGATGGCAACTAGTGGGCAACAGAATGACATCAGCATGGTGGTCATACGAGGAAAGAGCATCCTCATGTTAGAAGCCTTGGAAAGAGTCTAAACGATGGCAGTTCAGTAGGAGTTCACATTCTTCCCCAAAAGACTGTTTGACTTGGGTGTAGAATTGGGTCATGTACATTTTCACTGAAAAAAAAAAAACTTTTTGCTAAATAAACTTTTGTGATACTCAGAAAAATAAATAAATGAATAAAAATGGGTTGAAATTTAAGTTAACGGGGAAAAAGGCTAGCTAAAAACAAGCCTAAACTAAGGCCAAACATTCATAATTAATAAGTCTCTGTGTCATGATTTAGGAGCCAGTGGTTCAGAAAAGCATGCTACAGGTTTCATTAAATTAATAGGTGGCTAAAATACATTAAAATGCCCATTGCACATGACTTTGTGAATGTACTCTGGAGCATTCCTTATTTATTGTAGTTCTTCTCTCATAATGAAAGCATTGCTTACTCTGTTGGATGGCTTTCCCATTGGTGGTGTTGTCACTGTCTTACTAGCAGAGGAATCATTGTCATGCTTTCACTCAAGAATGCAAGGCGGTTGTAGTTGCAATTCTATGGATTTTTTTTTAAGTATTAGTATGTAGAATTGTTTTCTTTTTGTAGACATGGTTACAGGTTCCTATTTTGTTTCATTTGTGTGTCTACGCCAGTGCTGAGGACATATTTAGAGATAAAGCTAACTTCCCTTCTATGTTTTTGATAATAACTGCACAAAATCGGGAAAGTACATGCAAACAGTATTTTGTTATCATTATTTTAGTTTTCTTGCTTTAAACTTTTTAGACAAAAAATAAGTGAAACTACAATAAGTTGAGTCATAACTGAATAAAGAGAAAAATAACAAATTACAGAAAAGTCCTTAATAGTGTATAATTTAAAATCTACACTTGGAAAAATAATTAAAAGCCATAAAATGGAGGAAATTCAACTTTTAGACCTCATTTCTAATGTACTATTTGTTCTCAATTAAACGAAGCAGCAGTGACGTTTAATAAATTGGAAAATCATGCTTACCAATTGTGTTTGCCTTTTTAAAAAAAATACGGTAAAGTGACCTGTTTTCAAAACTTGATTTCTGGCAAAATAGTCTTTGCTATAATATTAATGGTTGTCTTTAATGTGACACTTTAATTTCTACTTTATTTTTTTATTTGCAGATTGCTCTGGGAACAGTTACCAATGTGGAAGAAGCAGTGAAGTGGATAAGTTACACTTACCTCTATGTGCGGATGAGAGCAAATCCATTAGCTTATGGCATCAGTCATAAAGCATACCAGGTAGAGAGCTCATTTGCTGGGACAAAAAAGAGAAGCTTAAGCCTTCTGTTGGCTTGTGTGGTCCTTTCCTAATGTGAAAATGAGTATTTGTTACTCTCGCCTCATTTGCAAACCAGTTACAGAACTGGAAGAAGATTTCTGAGCTTCTTTTATCTATTTATTTATTTTCAGGAAACACTGAGGGAAATGAAGTTGACCCTGATGATTACATCACTTTCTTTAAATTTCTTTTACCGCTAATATTATTAAGTTTCTATTTATGTTATGATCAAACTATTTTCAGATAAATTACCATTTGCTATTGATATTTTCCAATGTTTGTTTTTTAACTTATATATTTAGCTTGGGAGTATACTGGGCAGGAAAAAATTTATGGCTATGTTTTAATAATGGCATATGTTATATATAATCTGTTCCTCTTATCAAGTTACTTTATGCCTATTCTGTAATTTTTAAGTGGTAGCAGTAGTGAGTCATCGTAACTCTTTGGAAGCCAGGATTACTGTCATGAATCAATGCATAGGCAGACTGAGAATTGGATACACGTGGTAACAGCCTTCCCTATGAGCTTTATGGTTGTGTGGTCCATATGGCTTACAGACTCCATATAATCTTGGTTTTTCTTTAAAACTCTGCTTATATGCTGTAAGTACTTCCTAATTACAGATAAAACCCTGTTGTGATCTGATGAGAACATTATTAACTATCATCATGTGAATATTCATTTATGTCAAGTCAGAATTATCAAAAAAGTTGAATTTAACTCAAAATGTTTTTCCATTTACTGGTAACACATATCTGATCTTGCTACCAAAGCTAATCTTGGGGCTTTTCTTTTGTTTTTCCTTTTCCTGTGCAGTAGATTTCATAGAATTTAAGATGGGAGCAACAATTAGTGTTGAGGCTGCCACTCTGAAATCACTTGAGTTTCCCTATTTGGGTTTTTCCCTAGAAAGTATTCCCCTACCTTTCTTTCATTCATTGAATTGTGTGATGAAGTTAATTTGTGGCTAAATATAGGTGCATTATAACCTCTAACTTTATAGATGGTGACTAATATAACCTTGACTGTTCACATTATAAATATGGTGAGAATAATTGAGGGCATTATGAAAATTTTCTAAAGGGTAAGACTAAACATGGTATAAACATGATAGTTTGAATGAGAAGTGTTCCTAATAGGCTTCTTCCTGTATTTGAACACTCAGCCCTAAGTTTAGAAAGCCCTCTGTTTAGAAAGGCTATGTAACAGAGGTTCTAAACCTGTGGGTCATGACCCTGTGGTAGTAGACCTGCCTTTTCTCGGGGCTTACATAGGAGATATCCTGCAGATCAGATATTTATATTACAAGTCATAGCAGAAACAAAATTACAAAGTAGCAGGAAAAATAATTTTATGGGTGGGGATTCACCGTAACATGAGGTACTGCATTAAAGAATCAGAGCGTTAGGAAGATTGAGAACCACTGCTTTAGAACCTTCTGGAGGTGGAGCTTTGATGGAGGCAGTATGTCACTGAGGGTGGGCTTGAAGGGTGTATGTTACAGCATCATTTCCTATTCTTTTTCTTTCCTATGTGGACAAAAATGTGATTAGCTGGCTCCTAGTTCTTGTCATTCTTCCCTGTTTCCATGCCTTTCCTACCATGATGGACTCTGTCCATCTGGAACACTAAGCTAAGATAAACCCTTTTCTCCTCTAAGGTGCTTTTGGTGTGGTATTTTATCACTGCATCAGAAAAAATAATATAGCATATATTTTAGGCCTTATAATAAGACCATAACATTTTTATTTTAAAATATAATTGATATTATGCGTCATTTTGTGTAGTTCTCTGGCATAAGGAATACTTTTGGTGTAGTTTCCAGTATTAACAATCTGTTTATTTAATTATGTGTTTGTATCTTTATTTGAGGGAGAGGCACATGCTAGAGGATAACTTGAAAGAGTTGGTTCTCTCCTTCCTCCATGTTGATCTCAGGCATCAAGTTGAGTCCTGAGGCCTGGTGACAGATACCCAAACCACCTTATCAATGTCCTTAACTTTGTATAATTTTGCTTAATTATGTGTCTTACTCTTATTACTCAACATAAATTTTTAAGAATAAATTTCCTACTAATATAAATCAAGTAGTTTGTATTTAATGAATTTGTAACTTATTAATAACTTTATTTTAGATGAACCCAGTACGGCCTATCACAGTCAGCAATGAAAACATCTGCTGATATAGCTCCTACCTGTAGCCTCGTTTTTCTGACTTTTAAATTTTCTTTTATCTCTAATGAGGACCTAAGTTAAAACGAATGAAAACAATATTAACTCTTTAGATTTAGAAGATACTTTTTATGCTTCTGTGTTCCATTAAAAGTACATTTATTTTTGTGGATCTTGCCTGGGAAAAACACTCTCATCAACATATCTCCGTGTAATACTAATACTCATGAAATAGTAATAAGGCTCAAATTTTAAATCCCTTTTTTTAAGATTTATTTATTTATTATGTGTACAATATTCTGCCTGAATGTACACCTGCAGGCCAGAAGAGTGTACCAGATCTCATGGGTGGCTATGAGCCACCATATGGTTGCTGGGACTTGAACTTAGGATCTCTGGAAGAGCAACCAGTGCTATTAACTGCTGAGTCATCTTCCCAGCCCCTTTAATCCCCTTTTGTCTAAAAGTAAGAAAGAAATGACTTTTATATCTAATCTTAAGTATTTATTGTTCTGAATATTACAGATATAGCCATCTTGGATTCTAGAATATTTAAACAGAATGTGCAGATTGATAACATCAGTGATTTTTAAGCTTTTTTAATACATAAAATTTTTCTAATTCCTCCTTAAATGTTAAGATATACATACATACACACATATATAAGAAATGAAATCAATATGTCAAAAAGACATCCACACTCCTGTGTTCGTGGCAGCAAATTTCACAATGCCCAAGAAATGGTCCCATCCATGTGTCCATCAGTTGATGGATGGACAAGGAAAATGTGTTCCGTGTGTATAGTGAATAGTTTTTAACAGTTAAAAACAGAATGTAATCTTGTCATTTGTGACAACATAAATGGAAAGAGAAATCATGGGCCAAATTACATGATCCAGACATAGAAAAACAAGTACCACATGATGTTATTCATGTGTGAAAACTAAAATTTTGCAAACACAGAAATTGAGAATACCATGATGATTACCAGAGGCTCTTCTTACAGCAGGGATGTGGGAAGTTTTGTCAGTGTGTACTGAGTTGCAGTTACTTAAGAGCAGGTAATTCACCCATATTATTATACTGTAGGTGGGGACAGATGACAACATGCTTTGTATTTCACAAAGCTAGAAGAAAGTTTTGTAATAAAGAAATGATAAATGTTTAAAGAGATAGGTATGTTTAATCATTGCTAAATATGTGTATTAATGAAAAATGATATGGCATACTTTTAATATGTACAGTTATTATGTGTTTTTTTAACTAAACTTAATTGGACTCTTAAGCCCTCAAGAAAAAAATATGTTAATTTACATAAGTAGGCCTATGTGCTGACTATCTAAATAGTTTAATACATTTATGTTTATTGGCTCTGTTTCTTCCCAATAGATTGACCCAACATTAAGAAAACATCGAGAACAGCTAGTCATTGAAGTTGGACAAAAGCTGGATAAAGCTAAGATGATCCGTTTTGAAGAGCGAACTGGTTATTTTTCCTCCACTGATTTGGGTAGAACTGCCAGCCACTACTATATTAAATATAACACCA